TGTGTGTGTGTGTGTGTGTGTGTGTGTGTGTGTGTGTGTTCAGGTTCCCAGCCGTGTGTGTGTGTGTGTGTGTGTGTGTGTGTGTGTGTGTGTGTGTGTTCAGGTTCCCAGCCGTGTGTGTGTGTGTGTGTGTGTGTGTGTGTGTGCGCGCGCACGCACGAGAGCACGCAAGCACCACCAAGCACATCTGGGGAAGAGGTGTGTGTGTATGTATATGAGAAAGAGAGAGGGAGCACGCAAGCACTACCAAGCACATCTGGGGAAGGGGCAGTGGGCACCAGGCTGTGTTTCCTCAGGTCTAACAGCACATTCCACTCCATTTCATTCCATTCCATAGGTCTGAAACCTCCCAGCTCCACCTAAGGGAAGGCGGCTGTGGGTAGCCACCATTCAAGTTCCAACCCCTTCCCGCCCCTCGCCTCCACTCCCACCTATGAATGAGATGCTGAAATTTGACACCTCCGGGAGTAGGTGGGAGGGTGGGTTCATTCATTCCTCCATTTTGTGAATGGAATTCCTGACTCCATTCAGGGAAAGCTGAGGGGGGAGGGGCAGGAGTTCAAGGGCATGTAACACAATCCCCTCCGGTCCACAGCCTTTGAAGGTTAGCAGCAAGACAGTCTCCCGCCTCCTCCCACTCAGCCACCTCACAGCCAGGCCAGGCTCAGGTTTATGGCCCAGGTTTGAGGATGGGAGCACCCATCCGGTTCTCACTTGGGGAGCTTCAGGGTTTGTGGTTCAACCCCTGCTCCTGAAAAGCTGTGGCACCAGGAAAAGAGAAATTCTAAAGCTCCAGCCAGCTCTGAGCCCACGCTAATCTCTGGCTTTATTTTGCTAATGAAAAAGTTGCAGATAAACTCAGATTCCAGGCTAATAACAATGTAACAAGAAGGAGGAAAGAAGAGAAGGCAGCAGTCTCTGGAAATGGCCTTCCCTCCTTGCTCAGGGCTTTGAACTATAGCTGTTTATGAACTTGGCTGAGCGCAGCTCGCTCCTGTCAACAGCCAAGTGGGACCAGAATTTAAAGTGGTCCCTAGGTACCGAGCTTTTAGGCAAGAGTAGTGGGATGTGGAAACCACATATAACCCTGCTTTCCTACTGAAACTAGAGCTGTATCTTCAAGTTCATCCTTTTTTTTTTTTGCGATGCTGAGGTTTGAACTCAGGGCCTACACCTTGAGCTACTCCACCAGCCTTTTTTCGCCTGGCTGCGAACTTCGATCCTCCTGATCTCTGCCTCCTTAGTAGCTAGGATTACAGGTGCCAGGCAAGAGATTTTTTGTTGTTTTTTTTGGGCAGCACTGGGGTTTGAACTCAGGGCCTCATGCTTGCTAGGCAGCCACTCTGCCAGTCCTTTCATCCTTTTACATTTTTAAGCTTTTTTGGGGGACAGGGACCAATGACACATTCCATTCATCTTGGTATCCTCCAACTCCATAAATTAATGTTCGGGGCACAATACTTTTGTCTTAGTAGGTAATTAAAATCCCAAATAATGGGCTGGGGACATGGTTTAAGTGGTAGAGTATCTGCCTAGCAAGCACAAGGCCCTAAATTTAAACCATAGTACCACCAAACACAAACAAAAAACCTCAAGTGAATGTTAAGCAGTAATAAATGCCTTAACCTTCCTATTGTCATAAGCTACCCTGAGGCCAAAGTACTATGTATCCTTTATCTTGTTATCTGAATGTTTCCTGATTGGAAAATGACAATTCTTTTAAATATATAAAAAAAGTGAATGGGTAGGTGGGATTATGAACTGAAAACATGATGGTGAGATAAAACCTTGTGGGGGACACCTTCTAGGCTTCACTGAGCTATTCACTTTAGCAAACCCACAAAATCTCTGAGCCCTCCCCAGGAACAGTCTCTTACCTGTGTCGTAGGCGAAGTCCGTCCGCTCCTGTTTGATCACCACCCCCGCCCCTGGGAACCTGTGCCCACTGACCCCACCCTGGCCCACAGCTGGCTGGCCGGCCTGTTCATACAGGGGGTCGTGGTACTCCTGCTTGAAGCTCTGCTGGGGGTAGGGTGGGCAGGGCTCCGACAGCTGGTGTTGGTAGGGGGCTGGGAGGGGTTCCCGGCCCCCTCCCTGAGATGATGTGAAGGAGTGGCACATGTCCAGGGGCTGCTGGAAGACGGAGCTGGATGTGGTTGGATGGAGAAGGAAGAGAAGAGAATTCTACATTAGCCCTTCCGTAAGCCTGCCACTCCCAAGCTTGTCAAGTGAGCTCTGGAATATGTATGTGGGTGGGGCGGGGGAGGGCCTTGATACACCTTCTTCCCCACCCCCCATGCCAGGTCTCAATAGAGAACTCAGGAATCGAGGCCAGGCCTGGGCCCCCAAGTGCAGTGATTTGTCTCCTTACCTATGCTCCCCGAGGTACCCATGGCCAGGGTGGGGCTGGGAGGTGCTAGAGGATCTCAGGAAACTCCGTTGTTCTGCCCTGGGAAAGGGCTGCAGGGGTGACTGTCCAGGGGCACCAGGGGCAGGGGACTTGATGGCAATTTGTCTGGAGGAGTCATAGGCACTGGAGTTGAGGGGGAGATGGGGATGAGGGGGCAGAGAAGCTAGGTGAGCATCTTTGATCCCTCCTACCCAGGGAAGTAAGGCTGCAGGGATTAGAGGATGGATAGAGGTTCGGACTCAGATCCAAGTGAATTTCTTTTTTTCTTTTCTTTTTTTGTGACAGGGTTTCATTATGTAGCCCAGATTGGCCTTGAACTCACGATCCTCTTGCCTCAGTCTCCTGACTGGTAGGTTACAGGCCTGTGCCACTACCTGAAACTGGGCATCATCTTGAGAACCTCTTCCCAGCCCAGAGCAAGTATTTTGGGTGACACAGCAAGGCCATACTGAGCTCTGGCCTTAACACATGTCCCAGAGGGTCCCCTGCATGGTCCATCCTGCCTACTTAGAGAAATCCTCAGCTGTGTTGCTCCCTGACAGGAGCTGGTGAATCCTTATTGTTGTCTAGCTTACATCTCCACTGCTGCCTCAGCTCATGGGTGTCTCCCTACCCCCCATTGGGAGTGCACCTGCCTCATCTGTCCCCCGACACTTCACCAGGCACACCTGGACTGGGACTCACCTAGAATAAAGGCACTGCTCGCCATGGTGGTAGGGGGGTGGCGGCTTCCTGCTGCAGGACAGGACCGGCTCTGTGCGGGGACTCTGGGGCTCCTTCTTGATCCTGGTGGTGGGGCTATGGAAAGCTACTGTGGGGTTGGGGTGGGGCAAGAGCAAGGCCAGACTGTCACAAAAGGGGCAGGCAGGGCTTTGACACCTGCTCTCTAAGGTCCCCTCTCTTGGTCTCAGTTCTCTGAGATCCATAGTCAAAACACTTCAAGAACATTTGGCCTCTGTACATTGTATCTAGTTTCATACATCAGACTAATGGCTGATATTAACCAAAGGAACTGAAAGTCCAGCATTTAATGCAAACCCCAATCCCAGAAAACACCTTCATAGGAGTGTACACCTCCAACTTAGGGCTTTCGGTTTTCCTGAGTGCCCTTGAAAATTCCAAGGGAGGTGCATGGTTTCTTCCTTGGGGCTAAAAAGAATCTTTTTCTGCTTAAAGCTGGATATTACCCCACTTGAATGTCATCTGAATAACATTATGCACGTGCTCCTAATTATCTGTGGAGAACACTGGCCTTCCCAGTGGCCCCTGCTGGCTTCTCAAAGTCCAGCCTGGAGGCTGAGCCCCAGAATGAGTGAGTTCCTGGCTTCCTGCAGTGCAGTCAGATGCCCTAGAATAGAAGGTTTTGTTATCTGCTGTTTTCCATTCTTCGTGTCTTGTTTCATCTCCTTGGTGAAGACAGCTGAGAGAGCAAATTATCTGACATCCAAGCATCGATGTGACACTACTGACAGGGACCAAATACTATTTGTATGTGTGTGTGCATGTGCGTGTGCGTGCGTGTAGGGGGACGGTCCTGAGTACCATGGGATGTTTTTAACATCACTGTTGGTCTCCACCCACTGTGTCATTTGCATCCAAACCAAGAATGTCTCCAGCCATTGCCACACATCTCCTGGGGAGCAAAATCACCTGAATTGCATGAAAATGAAAGAACAGTAGAACTGGGCCCAAGCCCCTCAATTGGGATAAAGGATGGAAAGAGAAAGTGTCTGTTCCAAAGTCACACAGCTAAGACAGGGCAAGCCCCAGATTTGAACCAAGGGCTTCATCTCTCATTTGCTGCCCTGGTCTTTGAGTCTAAACCCAAGAATAGGGGAACCCTGACTTTCACCCTCCATTTTATGTATTTGGTGCTGGGGTTTATTTATTTATTTACAAATTTAGGTGGTGCTGGGGTTTGAACTCAGAGCCTTGTGCTCACTAGGCAGGTGCTCTACCACTTAAACCATTCCACCAGCCCCTTGATCCTTTCTTTAGGAGACAAGCTGATCTCTACCCCATGATTCACTGGAAACCCTCTTCCCCTCTTCCCCCAGCCAATTCCCTTTATCCAGGGCCCTCTACTCACAGTTTTCTGAATGGAAATCAGGAACAAATTGCTCATCGCTGTCTGGTACCTGAGCTGCAGAGAGAGGTCAGAGGTGAGTCTGGGGTTGGGTCCTGGGTAGCAGCCCCTTGGAGACACCATCATGGTCACCCTGCAGATTAGCACCAGCCTAGGAGAGGACTAGAGACTTCATGAGACTGAGGGCAACTCCACCTCAGGTCCTAGTGTCCTCCATCTGCGAAAAGACTCTCAGAACCTGTCTGAGCAGATTCCAGTCTTTTCCTAGCTTTGTCTCTATTACCTCCATTTTTTCTGAAGTGCAATCAGACCTGCCCTTCAGAGTTTAACTAAGTTCCCTCAGAGCTCACAGCAGAGTCACATCTGGGATGGGCAGGAGTTCCAAGATGTGGGTTCCTGTGGACTTGGAAATTCTGAATCTGGGGTGAACCTAGGAATCTGCATTTCAAACAACTTCCCAGGTGATTTTTAGATGCCCAAGAGTTCTAGAGCCTGGGAAAGAAGACGGGATGGAGGAAAGAGGCAGGGTCAAGAGAGATGAAAGCAGGTGACAATGGGAAAGGAGGTTGGAGATACTGAGTTTCATCCTTTGATGTGGGAGGGCTTCCCAGGCCTGGAAGTCAGAAGAACACCCCCAGAGTGGAAGGAACTGGGTTTGGGAATGGCAAGAAAACAGCAACTCACTGGGGACATCAGACTCTTTTCTAGTTCTCCTCTTGGTCTCCCCAGCAGTGGGCTTCCCAGGTGGAGTAACCCCTTGGACCCTAATATTTTTGCCCTTCTCTAAGACAAAAAAATTAGCTGGGCATTGGTGGGTTCAGGCCTGTAATCCTAGCTACTCAGGAGGCAGAGATCAGGAGGCTCGAAGCCACACCAGGCAAATAGTTTGCAAGACCCTATCTCAAAAATACCCAACACAAACACAAGATCTGGTAGTATGCCTGCCAGCAAGCATGAAGTCCTGAAAAAAAAAAAATGGATTACAGCAAGAAGAAGGTTAGACACCAAGAACTTCCTGATAGTTCAGGAAGAAAGTGGGCCCAGGACGAGGCAATGGACTCTACAGCTCAAGGAGGCCAGGCTCTCATTCCTGGAGATGGCTCTAAGACTGGACAATGTAGAAACTCATGCGTAAGGATGCTCGGAATTCAGAATGGTTGGTGAGGCCTGAAAGCAGATGGCCAAAGACCACTCCACACCCCAGAGAATACAAGTCCACAACCCTCTCTTCTCCATCCTCCCGGGTCAAGGCTCCATGTGATTTCTGACTTGGAATTCACCACTGCTTCTTATCAGAATGGCTTGTTTCTACTCTAACCTCCTGTGTACAGGCCGGCATTTTCTGCACAGTCGTCAGAGTGATCTTTTTACCACAGACATTGAATCATTTCTCTCTTGCTTAAAAGGTGAAATCCAAACTCTGACCCTTGGCCTCTAAAGCCCCACATACTCTGGTCCTCCTCACCTCTCTGAGTGGCCTCTTCCTACCTGTCACTCCCCAGCACCCTGGTCTCCTTTCTAGCCCTCACCCCTACGAAGCTCAGTCCTTCTTCCCCAGACCCTTGCCTGCTTTGTTCTGGCCATCAGGGTGGAATTCTCTGAAAAGTGGTTCTTCCTGGCTCTCTGGCTCATGCTTTATTTTTTCCCTAGCACACATTGTTACTTAACTTGTCTTATTACTGTATTTCACATTTTTTTTATCCCTCTCCTCCGCCAGGAAGTTAAGATCCACCACGGCGAGATCTTTAGCAGTCTTGTTCACCTGATTCTCTAGCAGCATCCAGAGCAGGATCTGGCTCAGAGTAGACAAGTCAACACATTATTTGTTCACTATGAGTAAGCGAGGAAGCACACACTGACCTCTGTCCCCAGACTAGCATGAGCCACCATTTCGGGCCTAGGAGCAAAAAGGGAAGAAATGCTAACCAAGCCAGCCCTTCCCTCACCCTGCAGCTCTCTCGCGCCACACATCAGGTCACACTAGAGGTGGCGGTGGGGGGTTACATCTTACAAGAAATACTTTATTTATTTTTGCAGTACTGGGGCTTGAACTCAGGGCCCTCACCTTGAGCCACTCCACCAGCCCTATTTTTGTGATGGTTTTGGGGTATTTTCAAGTAGGGTCTTGTGAACTATTTACCTGGGCTGGCTTTGAACCTCGATCTTCCTGACCTCTGCTTCCTGAGTAGCTGGAATTACAGGCATGAGCCATGGCGCCCAGCTGTATTTGTTTTTACTGTGGTGCTGGAGATCAAACCCAGGGCCTTGCACATTTACATCCCCAGTCCTAGGTTTTGTGTTTTTGTTTTTTTTTTTTAAAGACAGGGTCTTACTACGTAACCCAGGCGGGCTTTGAATGTTCAATCCTCCTGCCTCTGCCTCCTGAGTGCTGGGATTACAGATGTGTACTACCACACCTGGTTTAGATAGTTGATTTCATGACAAAGAGAGCAGGATGAGGGATTTTAAGAATAAAAGTCACCAGCAATCAAACTGTGACAGGTCAAGATGATACAATTCCAAAGTGATCAAATGGCACATGAAATCCCTTTGCAAAAACACACAAAAACCCGGCTTACACACGTCTTTTCAAGAAGTCCACCTACAACACAAAGACGGCCTGACTCAGGTCAGCTGGGCTTTGTTAGAAACACTGGTTCCCAGTCCTTTGTCCTGGAGAGTCTAATTCTACAGGCCAGAGGTGGCCTGGATACCCCCATTTGTAACCAGTGCTCTGGGCAGCCCCTTAAGGACAGGATCATTTGGAAAGTACTGAATAAAGGGAAGGATGCAAATCTGCTAGCTGCTCAGGGTGCAGACCTTTGGACCATTCGTAGGTGATACCCCAAATGCAGCAGGAAGGGGGTGATGGGAGCAGGGTGAGAACAATTTCCGCCCTGCTCTTAGGCAAGCAGGGTCCGAGGGCAAGAGAGGTACAGGACTTGGGGGTGGCTGACACACTCTGCGGCCCCTCTTGAGGCCTCATTAACTCTCAGTTTCCATTGAGGTAATGGGCAGGAGGCATCTCCTGTTGATGTCATTGGGCTAGAGAGCAGAGACCCCTGGAGGGTGGTCATCTGGCCTTTCCTTCTGCCTGCAGCCTGAAAGTTTAACCAGAACCTTTCAGAGAAGACCTTTCCCAGCCCCCAGATCACACCCCAAAAAAGGTGGCACCACCCTCCTCCTGAAGCCAGGAGTAAACCTCAGTCTACTTGGTGCATCCCCCACCAAAACACTGGCATTCTCCCAAAACGGTAGGACAGGGCCCTCAGTCATCCAGAGACCGTCAACAAGGATAGAAATCAGAACAGTAACCTGCAGCATTGAGTTCCTGGAGAGCAGGAGGTTTTTTAATTACCATGTTTGGTCTTGAGTGTACACTACTCTGTTTGTTGACTTGGCTATGTTTTAGCTGCCGGAGCCAGTGTGCCAGAGTCTGCCCCCAGTTCTGTGGCGCTAAGGAGGGGTTGATCTGCCTGGAGACCTGGCAGATGACTAGGGAGGGGGGAAGGGAAAGTGCTAAGCCAGAGAGAGAGAGAGAGAGAGAATTTTAAGGACTGTTCCTCCAATAGGGAGTCCCTAAAAGTAGAGGAGGGGCTTGAGGGCCTCCCCATGGGGTCCAGAAAATTGGAAGGTAATAGTCAAGCACCAAACCCCACCATGAATTAGCCACTCAAGGACCCCGAAATGCCTCATCACCTTGGGGAGGGTGAAGGGGAGCAATGATTAGGTGGAAGGGCTGGAGGCTTCTGCTCCATTGTGTCTCCACTGGCCTCTCACCTCACCCCACCCCCACCCTGACAGCCTGTAAGCTGGAAGGAACCAGTTCTGTATCTGTGGAGGGGACATTTGTCTCCATGAGCCTTCTTCTGGAAGGGGAGGAGACAGAAAGATGGAGGAAGCATTGAGCTAGGAAAGAGTGGGGAGGGGATTAACTGCAATCCCCACAGACACTCAGAGGCACCAGTGTGCATTTACATAAGCTCACACCCTAATTCCTTGTACTTTACTCTTGTGGCAACGCCACAACACACAGATGAAAGTGTCCTCCATGCACACGTTCCACACGCGGTATTCTTTTTGGACTTATGGATGAGGCAGGGAGAAGTCAAGGGGTCTAGGAGGTGGAAGCCCTGGGAGGAGGGTTTGGTAGCAGTGATTCTTGGGAAAAGGGGAGCACAGACCCATCCCTTCAGGTTCTGATCAAAGTCATGGATTGTTCTTTTCCTAGAAAGCCCCCATATCTTCAGGTATGGTGCACCCCCAAAATAATTTTACATGCAGCATCACAGAGATCAAGAACCCTGCAAGATCCACAAAGCTTCTGAGAATTTACAGACCCCAGCCTTATACAAAGGATGTAGACATGGCCTAGAGTCAATGTTCCTTACTACCAAACAGTTCACAAAGTCATTGTCCCCAAGGGCTTCTGAAGGTTCCTGACAAGCCTGGAAAAGAACCTTCAATCAAACCCAGCACACCTTTTACCATAATCAGACAGATCTTGGAATCAGCCTGCCTGAACCTGGGTTTCCCTGTGGCATCCTTTCTTTAGCACCTCAACAGATCCCAGGCATCCAGAAACCAGACACTCCCTCCTAGCCTCACTTCATCCCCCTCCGCTTAGAAAAATCTCAACCCCCAAAATGTCTAAGCTGCCACTAAAGAGCTCCAGCAACACTCACCCTCAATGCTGGACCAGCCGCGGCTGAACTCGCAACCACATCCGCATCTCTATCCCTCTATCCCTGCTCGGGTCCAACCTGGTCATCCCCTGAATTCTTCACAGCCCCACCCACACTACAAGGAATGGCTTCTGCTTCTCTCCAAATTGGGGCTTTAGGAAGAAACCCAGCTGAGGGAGGGGGGTTGGGCTCTGGCCCCCATTTCTCTTGATGCGCCCCATCACTGGCAAGTTTCCAAAGATGCTAGTCCCTCCCTGCCACCCCAAAGCTTCCCCTGGGCTGCAGGGGACACTGACCTGGTGGGAAGAGGCAGGAGAGGAGGCTGGGGTGGTGCTGGGATGGTGCAGGGGGACAGGGCCCCGGCAGCTGCATCTGTCTCCGCAGAGAGAGTGAGAAGGAGCGAGTGGCCTCAGCATCCCCCCCTCAGGCCTGGCCATCCATCGCCAGCTGGGAACCTGAGCTGCTCCCTCAGAAGGAAGGAGAGGGAACCAAGGAGATCCCAGCCCCCCTCCGCCTTGCATTCCCCACCCCACCTCCCCACCCACTGGATTTAAATGTACAGGGACTCCCAAGGCAGCAGCATGTAACACACACACACACACACACACACACACACACACACACACACACACACGCACAGTCACACTGCCACATGCATACAGACATGCGTACCATCTCTAGACCTACCACCAAGGGGTGGAGCTTCAAAGGTTGAGAGATGAGAACATTTTCCTCCCCCTCCCATCCCAAACCCAGGCACAAATGGACTGACTTCTACCAAAATGCCATCCTGCGCCTACCCTAGATCACATCCTGGGAGTTGTTCACTGTGAGGACCCTCAGAGGATAGACAAGGAAAGGAGCCTGGCAAGCCAGACTGAAATCAGAAATCAGGTGGTGGCAAAGGAAGTCTTTGAGAGCTTGTGGAAACTGACACCTCGAGTTCTTCAGCTCCAACCCAGCTCCAGAGCCTGGAGGGGGGGTTGGGTTGACCAGGCAAAGCTCTGCCGGTATGTAATTTGGAGCTGGACAAGGTGTGCGGTCAGGGAAGATGTGCACAATACTCCAGAACCCAGACCCCTCCAGCACCCAGGCAGCCTGTCAACCTTAATTCCACAAAATTTCTCCAGGGCATGCTCTTTGCTAAATAAGTCATTCTGTCGATATAATATATTTTGGAGACATCATAGCCAAGACAGACCTCGTTAGTCTCATTCCGTGGATCTAGTCAGGGGTCTTTTTTCTTCTACCCCAAGCTTCTATAGTAGATTCTGGGGGAGGTGGATTTGAACTTTTAAAATTGGAATTTTTTAAAGGGTAGAGGCATGGCAGGGACCCTAAGGAAAAGAAGAGCCTTCAAGAAGGGGTTCCTAGTGTTTTTGTTTCTTGGTTTTCAGAATGTTAAAATAAAGAAGGTGTTAGCTAAGATGGGGGTGTTAACCCTTTCCTCTCAGGGACTGTCTAAAACACCTCCCACCTGCAGCCCCACCAGCAACACCCTCTGGCTCCACCAAAACACACCAATGAATTCAACCCGAGCACACTGCCCCACCCAGACCAGGACCAGCCACTGACCCATTCTGGCCCAGCATGCAGGAAGAGGGGGATTTGCCTGGGGGTGGAGGTATGGGAGGGATGGAGAAAGGACCAGTTGCTATTAGAATTATAATCAAGGCTATTTGGGGAGCCTGGCTCCTCTGCCAAAGTGCCAAGAAAAGAATTATTGAAACTTTTGTTGTTCTTTTGGCTTAGACAGTAAATTGGCCGCTGGAGTTGAGAGGAACAGAAACCAAGGGGATAAGAACCAATACGTTGGCAAGTGCTGAAGATAGGTATCAAATAATTGCTCGGTTTCATCTCCTGTCCTTCACTGCCTACCCCTCCCAACATCCCAACACCCCAACAAGCACCTTGACCTCAGTCTCCTGCCAAGCAAACTTTGCAAATGAAAATTTCAACGAGGAAAACGGGCTTGAGGCCAAGTTCCATTCAAATAAGCAAATACCCCACACAATGGTCTGATTCATCCCCAGGCCTAGTTACACAAGCCTGGCTCAGGGCAGAGAAAATAAATATCAATATAAGTGTCCACGCTGGGCTCTGGGGAGAGAGGAGTGCCTGCGAACTTGGGGAGGGGGCTTTTGAGAACTCTTGGAGGCAAGGAAGGGGACAGAGGAAGTGGGCTAGGTTCCAATACTAGCGCTCCTTTCCCTCAATAAAAAAAGGCAGAATTACTCACCTTCAGCGAGCCATGTCTCCTGTAAGTGACTTAGATCCTGGAAGAGATCTGAGGAGTGAAAATGGAATCGGTGGTGAGGCGGAGAATATGATGAGAGGGAGCCCTAGCGAGCCGCCGTTGTGACCTCTCCTCCCCACTGGGGATAAGGAGCCGAAAAGAATGGCCAGTCCCTTGGAAGGCGTCTTTTTGGGAAACGGGAGTGGAGTGGGGGTGGTGAGCGTTCCAGGATCTGCCCTCCGGGTGTGCGGGTGGGGTGGGGAGAGGGTCGCGATTTGTCTCGAGTTCTTTACCTTCGGAGTCGGAAGGCGGTAGGGAGCCCGGGTCCACGAGCTTCCCCTGCGGGACCATCAGCGCTTCGCGCAAGCTCCCATTTCCGGGAGATTTCTGCGAGAAGGGGGAGAATGCCCCCGAGTCACCCTGAGGCGCCTAGTCTGGGGGGCGGGGTTGGGGTACCGGGGTGACTCAGGGACCCGGCCGCTCAGACCCGGCCGAGGCCGCGGGGAGGGGGCTGGCGGGTGACTAGGGGCGGGTGCAGGGCGGGGGCGGGCGTGGAGGCCGGCGCGGCGCTCACGCTGCAGAAGGTGTAGGGCACTTGCTGGTCCAAGTATCCGCCTTTCATCCTCCGCTCCATCCGGCCGCTCCCTGCGGCCACTCGGCCGGGGCCCCGCGCGGGGGCACAGACCTGGGGGGTGGGGGGAGGCTGTGTTCGCACTCCGTCCTGGGAGAGCTGCGGGGGGGCGGGAGGAGGTGCGGGAGGGGGGCGGGGAGAGGGCAGTCCTGAGGTTTCGGGTCCGACAGCGAAACTTCTCCGACTCACTGGGACAACGAGGAGCTTTCCGCCTGTGGGGCCGTGAGCCACCACCACTCCGATCCCGCCAAGGGAGGTCCCACCTGCTCCCGGGAGCCGGGATCGCTCTTTCTGCTTTCTGCAGCCCTCTCAGCCCGGGCTTGGTTACATAAGACACGTGTGTGCGTGTGTGTGTGTGTGTGCGCGCGTGTGTGTGCGCGCGCGCAGGAGCGGGCTAAGTGCACACCATTCGCACGCCCCCTCCAGCCCCAAATCCCGACGCCTCCCACCCTGTGCCCTGGAATCTGCGGAGGCGGGCGGTGAGAAGAGAGTGTGGTGTGTAGGAGGCGAAGCGGGGAATCAGTCACTCTCCCTTCCTCCCTCTCCGCAGCCTCACCTGAGGCCGGAGCGTCTGTGCTGGACCCGCGGGGGAAGCTGAGCATGCCCGGGGGACGACACCAAGGGCAGCGGGGCTAGGCCGGAGCGAGGCGGCCCCGGCTCCAGGTCCCCAGCGCACCGGCTTGTTTTCCCGGCGCTGCAGACAGTTGTGAGCCCGGGGGAGCAGCTGATTGGTGCATTTCCTTTGCTTCGGTCTCGGATCTCTCTCCCCCACCCGTTCCCTTTGTTTCATTGACTTTTGTGAATGAAACCCCAGGGCCGGGCACGCCCGCCAATCCGGAGACTCGTCCAGCCGAGTCTGGGGGCGGAGTTTCCCAGCGGTAGCAGCCAATCAGAATGTAGGGGCTGGCTCTCGACTTCATTCACATCTTATGTTCCCATTCATAAAAAAAAAAAAAAAACTTCTCGCGGCCGGAGTTCATTCATAAAGAACCGAGAGAAAAGAGAGAAGCTTAGGACTCCGCAGCTTCGCGACCCGGCTCGGCGTTAGCCTTGGGTCTGAGGAGCCGCGAGCTCCGGCTGCCGTTGGCACACGTCTCTGTTCATCTGTGTGGACGTGGGAGTGTGAACATGTCTGTGTGTGGGCTCTGGGGGGAGCCGAAAGGGTTGTGCGCCCAGAGGAACAATTATACCTAGCATTTATGAAGCGCTCAGATTCCACGTGCTCATTTCATTCCATCTTACAGATCTTCAAAATGAAAGCTCAGAGAGGGTCCAGTACTCTCCTGAGGTCACTCAGCTAGACGGTACCACTGGAGTTTACATCCGTAAATCCCTGTAGGTCTTCTGTGCGGTCCGCTCAGGCTAGGATTAAATGAATTAAGTTATGTGACAACAATGGATACCTAATAGGTGCTCAATAACTGTAAACTGGCATGGAATCCATGCTTTTCCTCAAGGGTCTGTACTTTGCACAGCTGTTTTGTGACCCACTTTCTACTGATTACCTGTAGAAACTAGAAACCCCAGGATGGATGACTTCTGAAAGAGCACCTCTCTCAGCCATCTCCCCTCTAATCTGGAAGCAAGTTTAGAACAATAGGGAGCAAATCCCCGGAGACCTGACGAACTAGGGGCAAAATGAGTTTCAGTTTTTCTTGTTGTGATTCAACAGAAGAAATGGCTGGAACCCCAGGCCAGTAGGGGCTGCTTTCAAAATCCATCTAAATCACTTTCCAGATGAGGCAGTGATGGTTCCGAGAAGGAAATGCTACAGGTGGGCTCTTCTAGCCTGTCTGGGTTAGAAGTGGGATGAAAACATCAACCACCACCACCACCCCCACACCTGCTTAGGGTTCTCTTCCCTCAAGATCAGCTTGGCTAATAAAAATAAAGTCCCCTCTCTTCTATGCTGAAATGTTCTTTAAAGCTCACGTCATCTAGTCCCTTTCCTCCGGGAAGTTTTCCTTGACAGCTTAAATTAGTTTCTTAAGCATTGTTGCCCATATCTTTGGTATGGCTGCGTTTCATTCATGTGACTTTGTGGTATAGACATCCCTAGCTGGAGGAGCTCTCCTGGACCAGGAGGAGGTCTCATTTGTCTCTGTAAGTCCCCCCTGAGCCTTTTTCATGCTCATGAAGGGTTGCAGGAAATCCATACTTGTCGGGTGAATAGATACAATAAAGAGCAAAGTAAAGGAGCTGTGTAGGAGCCCTGCCCAAGGAAGGTGAGACAAGCCCAAGCAAATCCCAGCTTTGGGCCGGATGGAACCAGTTTAGGGAGGAGTGTAAGTCCTGAGGCAGGAGAAGTGGGGGAGGAGGACAGATGGCTCTTCCAGGAAGGCAGGTCTGATGTGGTCTCCATGACAATGAAAATTCCAGTGGGTCCCTGAGTGGGCACTGGGCACTCCAGTTGGGGCCTGTCTAGGGGTGTCTGTCCGGTTCTGAGTTCTTTCATTTCTATGGAGGGCTCTGGCAAGTGAGTGCCCCCTCCCTAGGTGCCTCCTCCCATGGTCTGGCAGAGACAGACTAGCCTCAGCCAGTAGACTAAGTGAGAGAACGTACCACTGTTGTCTCTGGCCTCTGATTCAGTGCCCAGACTCGGAGCAGTGACATAGCCAAGCAGAGCATTCAAGCTTCTTGCATGGCGTGAGGTAGTTGGGTAGAGGAAGGAGAGAGATGCTGGAGGTTTCTGTTGGGAATCCCATCGCAGTAACTGACATTTACCATTTGTAGAGAGCTCTGCGTGTGCATGCTCTGCTCTAAGTGCAAAACCTGTATTAGCTCCTGCAACCTTCCAGCGATCCCGTGAGGTTAAGTCATCCTCGATTTCCTTGTTTACCCTTCCTAGGGTCCACACACCAGACTGATGACACTCAAAATGGACTCATAGGCATGCAGACATTTTGAGGGAACACACAACAGGCCAGATAGAGGACACACCTGAGCCCGTGCTACTCATGGACATACCCTGATGCAGGAGTCTTGAAGTCCCCTCCCGGACACAGCATGCTTCCTGGCACCCTCCAACACACTTGGTGGGGGTTGCACAGGTAAATGCTTTCTTTGTTCCAGTGATTGGGAGCTGGACTCAGACGTTTCACAGGAGTATAAATTATAAAATGTAAATGTGGGGTTTAGATATGCAGATCTTCATACAAAGCCAGTGTGTGGCTTGCTCAGGGAGCTGGAAGATCAGAGTACTGGGATAAGAGAGGAAGCTCCTTAATGTGCCTGGATCAGACAAATGAGGTGGCTCAGAAGCCCTCAGAGAAGCAGGCTTTAGAGAATGAGTGGCAGGGGTCCGGGTTATCTGGGGACATTCTATGGGTGGCCTGACTGGCTTTTGCAAGGGGGGGGGTGGACGGGACGGACAGACAGAAATGTCTTCAGGGCCTGGTTTCCTCAGGGTATGGAAGAGCCAAGAGTCTCACAGACATAAAGAGGGAACCTAGAGGATGACCTGTGGAGACAACTAAGTAAAGCCATTGGTTGAGATAAGTAGTACCAAGTGGTGTCCTTGAGTGTCTCCCAGACTACAGTTGTCATCAGGGGTAGTAAGCCAGGCAGCTGGTGGGGGTGGGGAAGCCTGGAGTTTCCTCCCCGCCCTCCCCCCACTCCCAGGGCTAATCAGTCACAGGACCACTAAAAAAAAATAAAATAAAAATGCCAGGTGCAGTGGCTCATGCTGGAAATCCTAGCTACTTGGGAGGCTGAGATCAAGAGGATCAGGGTTTGAGGCCAGTCTGGGCAAATAGTTCATGAGACCCCCATCTCCAAAATAACCAGAGCAAAATGGACTAGTGCGTTGTGGCTCCAGCAGTAGAGAGCCTGCTTTGCAAGTGTGAAATTCTGAGTTCAAACCCCGGTCCCATCAAAAAAAAAAAAAAAAAAAAAAAATTGGACTTCCTTCTGTCCTTTCTCATTGTCCCACTTTTACACTATTTTCTCTAAACTACTGGGCTTCTGAAACTGAGTCCATGACTGCGTGCCCTGAAACTAACTGCGTGCATCATGTGTGTGTGTTTTGTGTTTATTTTTCTGAAGAGAGAGAGGGTCCTGTAGCTTTTATCAAGGTCATCATAGTAGATCTGTAATTCTTCTGCCCCCATCTGTCAGCCACTGCCCCAGTATTTTTTTTTTGGGGGGGTGGTATTGAGGTTTGAACTTAGGGCCTCAAGCTTGCTAAGCAGGCGCTCTGTCACTTGAGCCACTCTGCCACCATGTCCCAGTATCTTTTATCCTGATGTCTTTGCTGATTATCTTGCCAATTCGTATTACCTTAAGCATGGTTGGAAAGGCACCACTGCTTTGGAACAATGTGCTTCGGAGCAGGTAAAGAAACTGCTTCTCTGTTTCCATTCCACCTCCCACTTAGCCTGAACTCTCTGTCTCTCTCTCTCTCTCCCCCCCCACCTCTGTCTCTCTCTCTCTCTCTCTCTCTCTCTCTCTCTCTCTCTCCCCACCCCCTCTGTCTCTCTCTCTCTCCCTTATCTCTCTCTCTCTCTCATCTCTGAAATACTGGGGTTTGAACTCAGGGCCTTGTGCTTGCTAGGCAAGCACTTGACCCCAGCCCTTTTTGCTTTAGTTATTTTTCACACAAGGTCTCATGTTTTCACCCAGGGCCAGCTTTGGATAGCAATCCTCCTACCTGTGCCTCCCACACAGCTCCCAGCTTGTTTATTGGAATTGAGTCTTGCTAACTTTTTGCCTAGGCTGGCCTCAAACTGTGAGCCTTCCAATCTCCACCTCCTGAGTACCTGGTAAGGTCTCTGTTGAGATCCCACAGAGTAGGGGTCTTCCAGCCAGTCATCTGGGAGCACGTTGAATCAAAGAAGAAGGGTACAGGTAATACTGATGTCTTGCTTAATTCCTGGAGGCTCCTTGGTGGAGAAGAGTAGTCTTTGAGAGAAATCTTACAGATGAGGAGATTTTCTTTCTCTTGAGTGATGCAAGGATAGCATGTCTTCAAGAACCTTGGGAGAAACGGGGAGTCTGACTGACAGCAATCAGCAACCTGAAATGGGGGCTTCTGGGTCCCTGGAGAGACCCCCATCAGTGTGTGACAGTTGTGATATTCCCAGGAATAGAGTGATGAACACAAGGACTTCTGTGGGGACCAAATGAATCCCAGAAAGGGGCTGATTTCAGGATTCTTTGGCAGGGGTGTCACCTTTTGGAGAACTGTATACAGAACTTGTCAGAAACCTAGTAAGAAGCCTTTTATTATTATTATTATTATTTTTAATGATGGGAACAACAAAACACATTTAAAACTGAAGCTTCTGAAGAATAACTTGTCCTTGCCAGTCTCGTATTGTCCTTGAATTTGACCTGGGCCTCCCTTTTGGCTTTGCATTTAAGAGCTGGGTCTCTGAAGACATTCTTGTTGACAACAGTCTTGTTGTCCAACAACAAGTCCAGAGCACCTTGTGGGCATAAGGTGATTGTAGTTACAAACTTTCACAAAAGACTTGATCTTTGACCTCTTGGCGATTTTCTTCTTGCCCATTGCAGCTGTCATTTTGGGGGATAGCGGTCAATTCCAGCCACCAGAGCATGGCTGTAGGGGTGGTCTG